ACTGAATGTGCACGGATACCAATTTATTTTGGTAGGATGAGGCACGAAATGCTTTCTTCCTGTGAATGGGTAGGCAGCTGTCTTCCAAAATTCCAAAACCTGATGCTGAGAACTTGCTTGTCTGTGACCTGTGCTGAAACAGAAGTACCCACATGAGGGGCACCTCTTCTCCTTTTACACAAACCATGCTTTGGATTCAAGACTCGCAGAGAAAAGGGACACTGTTCACGTGTGCTGCGTGCGTGGTTAGTGGCTTTTAAACAATTTGTTCACTTGAGAGAAGAGTAGTTTTTGCATCCTAGATGTGGGAGATTGGAGAAGACTTCAGGATGTCCATGAACCAGATGCAGTTTTCTGGGGTGCCATGCTGGGTGTACTGGAGTCGAGTAACAGAGCCACAGGAGTCAGCATGCAAGCAGCTGACGGGAGCTCTTGCCCAGAGGAGAACACACTGGCAAACAGTAACCACAGCCAGCCCCAAAACCAACTTCTTGTCTAGTCCACTAGTGTTGTGATTTTTATGTAAAAATTATGGACTTTAGGCTACGGTGTCAGAGAAAGCGATGTTCTGTACTTAACACATGTGATCTCATAGGTCATAAACCGTGTGCAATTACACAAGCACCACTTACTAGTTTAAACCGTGTTAGTTGTTGTTATTATCTTTCCCAAGAGATTACTGCTATTGCTCTATGTAGGTTATGATTTACAGTAGCGTAATCATCTGAAAAGACTGGATTTGTTAGGTTTCTCAGACAATACAAAACCAAGTCAAGCAATACTTACAGATACCAAATGGACTTAAACAAAATGTTTTTCTTACCTTAAGATGTATTATTTTATTCTGTTCCACCCATCCACTCTCCAACAGGCAGAGAAAAGTGGTCTTTAATTGGGGGACACATAGTAAAATGAGAAAAATATGAAAGGATTTCTATGAATATTCGTGGTATCATCATCTTAGCGTGACTGAAGTGTTCAGTAACAATACAGACACTGCTTGACTCTTCTTGTTTAAAAGAGCACTAAGTCAGGGTTTTTCTCCCAGAACCTGACATCAAGTCTGTGAAAGTCTTCCCTGAAGTGATTCAGAAAGAAAAACTATGTGCTATTTTGTCTCGAGTATGTAAAACACCTACGTTGTTAGAGATTGTAAGAGGCCTTACAACCTGTTGGTAGATTTTCTAGTAATAAATTATTGCTGTATTAATTTATTAAAAATTACTTAGCCCTTCAGGAAAAAGATTGTAATCATGCAGGGAGTTTGAGCTTTTTTCTTAACAGAGTGGACTTACAAAACCTTTTTAACCTTAAACTAACTAGTTTTATTTTTACTTTGATATTCTTCACCAGTAAAAAGCCCTCCCCTTTGCTTACTTTCATTTCCTTGTGCTTTGGTGGGGTTTGACACTTACAGGCCTCTGTCAAAGGGAGATCAAGGCACATCTCCTTGCATGTGCCTGCTACTCCTGTCCTCTATGGAAGCCCATATATAGCAACTCCATAGGGATCCAGAACGCTATGATGGGAGAAAGCCGGGAAATACAGCACACCGAAATGCAGGGGCTCCGAAATGAGCTGGCCTCTCTGAATTGAATTTTGCTGCTTTCCAGGACGTGGGGCCAAGGTCATTCCCAGCACAGACGCAGCAGAGGGCAGGACTGGGGCAGGAAGATTCCATGGGTACAGACCCGCTGTACAAACCAGCGGTGAACAATCAAGGCAGGAGCCCCGGAGCTCCAGCACCCTGCTCCCCCATCCGCTGGAGAGGACGGGAAGGTGGAGGCAGCAGCTGCGGCTGTTGACAGCTTCTCTCCTCTCGCTGCCCCCAGCACACCCCTGCCCTCGGGAGCAGCCGGCCCCGCAGTCCGGCAGCCCCACGCGACCCAGCCCCTGCCCCAGCTGCAGCACAGCGTCCTTGCAGCGCCAGGGCTTTGGCCATACTGGGCGCTTCAGCTACAGCAGTTTTGCTGCCCGGGGCCTGACTGCTGCAGAGGCAGTTGCCTGCTTTGCCCAGGCCTAGGGAGCAAGTAGATTCACTCAAAGCATGGGGTAAATACAAGCTACTGCAGCCTTAAAAAAACAAACAAACAAACCAGAAAACCCCACAGTAAACTGGAGGTGACCCCCGCCACCTCCAGTGTTTGCTGGACCAGCAGCGTTTGGGGCAGGTAGCTGCACAGGAAAACAGGAGCTTGGCCTCTGGTGAACGTCCTCATTCTTTCTGGGGGATAGGATAGATGAGGCAAGCAAAATACGCTTTCCACACACCAAAAGACTAAGGATAAAGCTTTGCCAGTTGGACTGTGCCTTGCGAGTTGCTGGACAAGCTCACTTCCCATTAATGTCAGAGGCATTTCTGCGGGAGCCTAGCAACTGGCGTGCTGCAAGCTGTTGCAGGGGTAACGGAGGGGGATGACAGGGGAACGTATCAATGCAAATGCGTGTGAGGCTGAAGCCATCCGTGGTCTGTATTAAGTAACGCATTCAGGCGATACTTCACAGAGAGTAATGGTTGTACTTGAACAAATTAGTCCTTACCCTGGCTGCTGGCTTTCTGCTTTACAGATGTGGAAAGACTATCAGTCAAAATACATTCTCCCCAAGTCTGAAATGGTATTTGTCGCTGCTTCTCTTTTCAAATGCCTTTCTTTTGTCCTCTTTGCAGTTTAAATTCAAGTTATTTATCTAGATAACGTCCCGTAAGTACTTTTAAATATAAATACACTCCTCAATTTTCACTTCTTCTAAAGCTGGCAATAAAACATACTTTAAAACTACTCCGTGGCACAGACTACCTCTTCACTTATCCGTATTTTCTCTTACATGCAGCAAGGCAGGTATTGCTCAGTTCTCTCACAGAAGGCATTGATGAGAGCAGCAGGTCCACATGCTGTTCCCAAAAAGAACCTGGTCGGACTGAATGACGTCGTACGTGCTGGCTGCGAGAGCTTTCCTGTCCTCAGCTTCCTGCTAAAACAAACTCGTTTTGATTGTTCCACACAGTAAACTGTTGTTGATCAATGTAAGGCTGAATGGTGCTGGTGGCTGACTCATCACTCTTGGCTTGACTACTGCACAGCCTAATGAGTAAAAGTGAGGTACTACTGACTAAGAAAAAAGGGCCAGTAGCTAACAAAGGGGGAAACAAGGAAGGAGAAGGGAATCTAGCAGCCATCATACAGGCAAAAAACATTGAGAGAAGAGTCACTAACATTTTTGTTAAATCTAAGCTGTATTTACTTTTCTGATGCCGATTGATTCAGTAGGACACTTACGTTTTGAAAATGGAATGCATAAACACTGTGCAGTAGAAATTAGCTGAGAAGCAACATCTTAATATACAGCGCAGGAGTGCGAGGAGCACTTCAGATGGTGAGGGAGCCTGGGTTCCTAAACAGTCATTCCCAAAGAATGGTAAAAATATTTGTAGGAGAGAACAAGCTGGTGAAATACGATTTTCTAGGCTGCTGTCTGCTTATTTAAAGCATAAATGATCTTACAGCAGTTCTATGTGTTTTCTTTTCATATCAGTGTTAAGCTTATCTTATAAACACATCTTCAGCACGTAAAGCACGTTAAAAACATCCATTCTAAAAGTCGGATGCAAAGAGAATGTGGCTTGGATGCTTACTGGCATGAAGAGAGATATCCTGTCTTATTCTTTTTTGTTCTGTGATACAGTTGTAGCATTATCTGGTATCCAGGGCTTTGAAGGATCTATTGTAAGCATGTCAAAGACTTTTTAAATTACTTCAGTTTTGTAAATATTAGATCACAAAAACTGAGGAATGAGTCCTGCAGACTTTCATTAAACAATGTGTCCCATTATTGTTTTTCTTGTTTTGGAGTTGAAATTAAACTAGCATTAGTAACACTCTGCATATTTAGTCTTTCAATGAGAAAAAATCTGTTCTAATAATTATCACGTCTATAGAAATGTGCATTCAAGATGCAGCTTAGACATTAACTAGTCACCAATGCCTGCTGCTTGTGCACTCAGAAGAGGTGTCTTGCACAAGATCCCAGTGTCCATGATGGAGCTTGGGTGAGACAGGACTGGCGTCCCATGATCAGTGTCTCACCTCCTTAGCGACCTGGGCAATCCGGGACTAACAAGCTGTGGGACAAGTCTTCCACTTGGCAGTTTTGCACATGGGGAGAGAGCATTCCCACAGCAAGTGGTAACTTGCCTAGCCACCCTTCTGGCTAACACCCACGGGCCCAGAGAGCTAAGGGAGGTAAGTGCCACAGTTACAGGGCAATTGGTGGAGTATGGGCATGAAGGCCACGTGGTTGGAGGCTAGGAATGGCTGAGCCTGAACTTGGAGTCCAGACTAAAACTTGACAAGAGTCTAAGGCTGGGACAAAGATGCAGAAGCAAGAAGACAACAAATCAGCAGCTTGTCATAAGACAGAGGGATAGAAAGAAAGAATGGGCAGAAAACCCTCTGCCCCCTTGCCCCTAGCCTTAGTTTCAGGAAATTATGTTGGCACGTACTCGTCAGCCCTCCCCAGAAAGAGCCGAAACTCTCTTTCAGTCTCCTTCCTCTAAAGGGTGACAACGTTCAGTTGCTATAGGTTATTCTTCTGGTACCTCATGGTGCAAAGGTCAGTGTCCTGACATAGGAGGTCTCACCTTGCTGAAGACCATCTGGGTGTCAGAACATCACTGAACTGTGGAATTCCTGCCTTTTTTAGCATCATTTTTAAAAAGTCTGGGAAATTAGTACTCTTTTGTACTAATTAGTACTAACTAGGAAAGGTAGAAGAATAGTCAGGTTGTCAAATGAAGCACTCAAAAACTACAAAGTGTCAGGATTAAGAGTTACCTGGTGATTTGATTTGATCCTGTTATGCATATTCATTAGGATATTTTAAAAACAAGTTTGAGCCCAACTTTATTTATGCTGACAGTTCTTCAATGCAAATATTTGTGTTAAGCTGTTCATTTCCACAGTGCTCAGTACCTTAAACAGTCATCACAATAGCGGCACTTGCTAGGTATTTTAGCTTCATTTTACAGATAGGACAAAATTCTTCATAGCCAAGTGGCAAGTGCATCTGGCAAGGCAGGTTGAGAAGTTGGGATATCTTGGTACCTTTTCCTTAAATCAAATGACTGTTTCTTCTGAGCCAGAGCAGTACATAAACTATACAGGGTGGAGATGAAATCCTGCCTCTACAGAAATCAATATAACTCAGACATTATGGTGCAGATACGTATCCTTAAGGTCTAAGTTATTCTGTTCACCAAACCAAATTGCTTACAAATTGGCAAACTAACAAATATCAGCATTTATCAAAATTAAATCCATATGTTCTGCAAATCCATGTATCATCAACTACTTCCAGATGTAAATATCCATGGATAGTTTTAAGGAACCTCAGTCCCGCAGTCAGTTTCCATCATGATTCTCAAAATTAGAGCTGTTCACAAGCAATATACAACAGTATTTGGTCTCTTCAGGAAACAATACTGGTTGCTTTCCTTAGAGCCAGGTATCCTGTAACCACATCTGAAGGGAGCATCCGAATATAGGCAAATTCTTCAATAGTACTAAATCTCAGCTTGCTCTGGGGATCTGTGTAATTTGCCTGAAAAAGAAACAATGGCAGAGACACTATTCAAAGAACATCTCGAAAAAGAATGCTAAAAAAGCTGTCTAATTACAGGACCACAAAACAGCAAATTTCTTTTCCCAGTAACAGCACTGCTGCTCTACCATGTGACCAGAAGCTTGTACTTTTTTCTTTCTCCTTGTGTCAGAACTTAGGAGAAGTTAACAGACCCCTATAAAAATCACATTAGAAATGCATTAAACATAACAGAGGGCTGAAATAGTTTCATACAAAACACAGTGCAAAGAAATTCCTCAACTCTCTAAACTCACCCTAGCAACTCTGTGCCTTGTGCAGTCTCTCACACGGCAGCTCTCCAAAGAGTCAGGCTGCTGCCAATAAATTACCCACAAAGAGGCTGAATTATGGGTGCTCTGATAGCTTTGGACTGATTTTCTCTTCCTGCATACAACTTAGCTTTTAATTTACTTTAAAGTGGTTGTTAAAGCAAGGGTGTCTCAGCTTATGGTTCTGTGACTGAACTGATAAGAAATTTGAACTTGGCGTTGTGCTTTCCTACAGACGCCTGCTTTCAGGATAGCAGCCTGGCCAGCTAACCCTGGGCTACGCTTGTATCCCCTGCTATATTTGGACCCTGGGTGCCTGGGAGCGGTGCCAGTTTCCTCCCATCCTCTCCCCTTCCCTGTTGCCACAGAAACCTTGAGCTCTGATGAGCTTGGGGGCAGCGCAGGAGGCTGGGCTGGAAGAAGGCAGGCTTCAGGGTATTGCCTCTCCACCTTCAGCCTCCAGGACAACCAGCATTGAATTACCAGGTGCCTGCCAAGGCTCTGAAAGTGTCTTCTGCACCTTTCTTTAACAGGAGTTGGTGGCAGGCTGCAAGGCACAGGCAGCTGAGATCCCTTAAGACATTGCTACTAAAACAGAAAAGGCTAGGAAGAGCTGGAGCATCCCCCCCATCCATACTGTTGAAGTGCAGAGGCCTCTGCCATTTTTATGTTGGAAAGGATCTGTTGACCGTGGTAACAATCCAGTTAATCGTCTGGCCTGATAAGACTTAGCAGAAAATTAAGTGTTATTTGTAGCTTGTTTCTTTAGAAAGAAATGCTACAAGGTTAATTAAATGCAGTCAGCTAACAGTCAAACCATCAATTCATTTTCAAACAAATGGCAAAGTTAGGACATTAGGAGTAAATTATCCCTGGTGGTAACTTCATGGCTACAGCAGGTATAAATTTATTTTTATTTCACACTTTAAATCTGGCCTCATGTATCTAAGAAAAAGCTAACAGAGTAGACTGCTTTTCAAATGTGCATGATTCTGTAATAAACTAGCCACGCAGTATCAGCAATCTGTGTTGCGCACCAGTCTAGGTTAAAAATATTATGGCAGTTCTTCACCGTTCTGATACTTTGTATTGGGCTGTACTGTTTGCACACGCTAGTGCGTGGCAACTAGCCATTTATGCCATGACTTCAGTCTGAAACCAAACTTTACCTCTACTTCAGCAATAATTAAAACAGAATAGAAAAGTGAAGTAAGGTGACTTTGCAAAGAAAAAACTTTGTCATGTTTAGAAACCAAGTCAAAGGCTACAGATACATGCTCTTTAAATACAATAGATTAGTTATCTCAATCTGTTTCTATAGTAACAAGGCTGATCCACTTTCAGAAAAGGAAGAGAAATATAAACATTTGAAGGTTTGGGGTTTTCTTAATCTGCTTTACAATAAATTACTTTGTTTTGCATATTAAAATATCTAAATACTCATCTTGCAAGTTTGCAAAGAAAGTTTTATTTTGCAGTGTCAATATAGTAGATAATAGCTTTTGAATTTTAGGCTGCCTTACAAATATAAATTGGCCGCTCTGCTTAGACCATTGGTAAATTTAATTCCATTTGTGTTACACACAGAAAGAGAAGAGGATAAGCAGAATTTACTTGTGGCATTTAATATAACTGCAGGTATACCAATGAGGTTGTTTTAATACACTTCTCTTTTTTTGTACCTGCTAGACCATTTAATTTCCCTAAATTGGTAATGCTAAGGAATTTATTTTACTTTTTTTTTTCCTGTGGGGAATCCAGCATTCCCATACAAAATATATTCTTACACAAATGCTTTCAGATTTTACACAGAAAATACAAAGACATTTTTCTTATACTAGATTTCTAAAATATTCTATTACCCCACATATCTTCCTACTAGGAAGTGACCTTGGAAATAAATTTAGTGCTTCTTATGAAACATTTCTGTCTTAGCAATTTAAAAGAAATGCTGTCTCAGTTATCTTAATAAAAAAGATTCTTTTAAACACAGTATTTTTGTCATAGTCTGGAGAAACCTTGCAGGCCAGGTAAAATAGAAAACCTGACTCACGATGCAATTAGAGAATGGAAAATTAAGAAAAAAAAAAAGAAAGTGGAAAGACAAAAAGGGAAACAAAAGCAGCATGAATGGATTCATATAGAAAAGAGACTATTTATACTGAGCTAGAATAGTTAAAGTCCATAAATCACTGATGGAAAGGAGGAGCTGGTAAAGAAAAACTGAGGAACTGAAAGAAAGACTCTTATTTCCTATGGCTAAACTGACTCTTAGCTGGTAGGGACACGGTCTTCACTCACATCTATAACCTGCATCGTCATCTCGCTCTAGGTGCAACGACTGGCTAGTTTTGAAATGCATCAAAGGCCAGTGCTGGAAAGCATTATTTGGTTCCTTGGAGATGGGTCAGTGAAAGGGACTTATGCCCTTATGCTGTCTGCCCCACATAAGCACCTTGCAGGTCAGAGATGTTGCTGCAACATTAATAACACCTGGTGTGAATGCTACTAATACTTGCAAAGCAACTGTAAGGAGAGAGGATAGGAAACAGATGAACACCATTAAGTGACCCAGTATGGATTTTTTGCTATTTTCATGAAATCTGCTCACTATTATTTCAAATGTCCACCTATCCCCCCTTCCTCCATCCACTGCATCTTTATACAGAGTAGGGGTATTTATGCAAAGTTCCTTACTCAACTGACCCCTGCTCCTTGTCTGAAAACAAGTTGCTATTATATCAAAACAATACTGTTAAAAGTACAAGACTCTAAGTCTGCCTGGCTGGAGGGAGTTATTTTCCCTGGGTTTGTGAGCAGTCTCTTCCATTTGCTGTCTGCCAGATCATCTACGAGGGAGATGTTGCTTTCCCATTCCCTCGTGAACACCAAGGGTGACCAGGCTTGATCCAAGCAACCCACTCCATTTCCAAATCATGCTCAAAGGCACAGGCTGGAAACATGCCACTTCCTAGGCGCTTTATTTAAATGTGTTACTTAAAAAATGAAAAAGTCAAAGAAAACATACGTTGCCAAATCAAGAACTCAAATGGTAGGATGTGTGGGATTACAGTTGGTGCTATAGCTATTCTTTGGTCCCTTGCACTGTGTATCCACTATAAGGAAGTCCTCAATTAAGTGCTCACCCATTTTTTTTTCCCCAATGGGGACTTTCACTTAATTCAGTGTACAGAATGCAAGGTGCTGTGTTAACCTGCGTCAACATAACAAATGTGTATATTTACAGGCATCTCTATGAGGTGATATCAACCCTGTGAAGCGGGCTAGTGCCCTGGGCATGAGAAGCAGATTAAACTGGGGAAGGGACCCAGAAATTCTGTCTAAGGCTGTAGAACGTTACAAAGTTGTCATTATTGTAGTTATTTAGTGTAACCATTACTTAACACATTTTCTAGTTCAAAATACAACATTCCCATTCATTTCAATTGTAATAAATGCATAGGCTTCTACAAAATAAATCACTGGGGGCTGAAGGTAAAAAGTGAAAAGATATGCTGTTACTAACACCTGTTTTGTTTTAAGTAAAATTATTCGTGTCACATAGGAACAGTGTCAGCAGCAGATACAAAATTTTTGTTGGGCAGAATTCAATGACTTTCCTCCTGTTCGGTGCCAACAGAATCTCTGGGGAATTCAGGTGCCAAATTGTAACTACTGAGACTTTTTGGAGCATGTGCAAACTGTATCTATGTCAAATGTGTTTTTTTTTTTCCTTTTCTTTTTCTTTTTTCTTTAAAAAAAAAACAACATGTAAAAGAGCCCATCTGTGACACACAGGCTATATATCTGCCAAAGTCCAAGTTCCAGCTCTGAAGCATGGGAGTATTTGAAATTCTCAAAAGTCCATGCCAAGTGTCTGTTTCAGGCTGATCTGTTTGAGGGAAAGTTTGAGAGTAATGATAACAAGATTATTTTTTTTTTTAACCTGGGTCAATCAATATAATTTTGCCTAATCTCATTCTTGGAAATTGCTGAGCTATCTTTTTGAAACTTTCTCTAAAAGATATAATGAAATAAATCAGCCTCAGGCAAACACTCAGCATGGAAAGTTTCAGTCTGTGTGGTTAAAGCTTGGCAAAGTTAGGAGTCATGGAGACTGTGGGCCACCAGCTTTCACTGTAACAGTGTAAAGAATCAGAAATGATGGGGACCAATGCAGACTCTACAGCTGGGAGAGTGGTGTAACACGAGCCACCTGGCAGGACAAGGTATTTAATCTGTCCTGATATCTATTAACAACCTAAGGATTTTGTGATGTAGTGACAGTATTTGGGGTTTGGCCCTAAATCACTGGACAACTATTAAGCATGAGGCTGAACAGGAATCTCAGCAAGTACAGCTTTTACAAAAGCATGCACCAACTTTATTTCATTGTGGAAAGTGAGATGAAGAGAAAAATAAAATAACTTACCGGAAGTCCTGAAATGTCTGAATATTTCTTGGCAGGCTTAAAGGAAGGAGGAGCATCAATATTAAAATCTAGAGAAAAACAAAGTGATAAATTCAGTGTGCTATATATATTTTAAAACGCAAACCCAAAATGTAAATAGGTAACAATACTTCCTTAAAATGCTGCCTTTACTTTCTGAGGTCTCTCTTAACTAGCAGCACTAAGGCAAAGAAATATGAAGCAGAATTACCTTTGAAAACATTTAGCCTGTTAGCACTGTAAACAACAGCCTGATTTTGCTCACCTTGCTAAATAAGAGTTCAGTAAGCAGAACTGCCCTCCCCAAAAGGAAAAATGCAAGAGAGCTATTTGAAATGTGTTGGTGTCTTCCAAGTCTTAATGAATTCCCTTGCAGTCAGTTATTTGCAAAGAACAGTCATTATCATATGCATGGTGTATGTTAAGACCACTCAAGATTGCAGCTCTGAAACACTATAATCCAGAAAAGCAAAGTAATCTTTTAAATCAGTTAAATCTTTAAGCATGTACCACTTTAAGCCCAGTCAATGACCTAGAAAATTGTCTTGAATGTTTAAATTAAATGATGGAAATTGCTGTTCTTTGGTGCCCTTTAGATAGCAACTCTCATTCATAAATATTTTCAATATACAGTTGGTATGTTTATGTAGTTAAATCCCCAATTTTGGATGTTTACAAAAATATCTTGTACCTGGCTCATTTCTTTCCTCCTTCCTGATGTCCCTTGCACCTCATTCAGATGCTATGATCAGTTCAAATGCTACATGCATATCAAATTTCTAACTCATCATCTCATAATTCAAAAGACATTAATGCCACAGACAGCTGGTTTTAAATATGTAACTGAATTTCTTCTCCCACCTTCTTAAAAAAAGGCTGTAGGTTTATTGTTGCAAACAGAACATAATAGAAATAGCAACATCAGCAGATCGTCAGTTACAATAGCCAGGAACACACAGCAGTCTGCTTTTTTCTGTAACAGTTGCGTCTAAAACACTTCAAAAAATGGCAAGCTATTTTTGGACAAAGCACCAAGTCTGACAAAAACTAAATGCATATGCTCAATTCTGAGATGCCTCCACTTGCTCAAGTGAAATCTGAGGATCACATTCTGTCTCCAGCTACGTTCAACAGTATCCTACTTTACGAGTACACTTGAAGTGTATCTAGATTAAGACCACTGCTGTAACTCTGTTCCTGTAGATGCACGCCAGCTAGCTGTAATCAGGACTGCTAATAGTGTAGTTTCAGCTGTGCTGAACTAAATAGAGAACGTAGGATTTAAATCTCCCAAGAATCTAGGATAAGAAGCTGGATAGGAAGCTTGGGCTGAGGTCTAAGCTACTGCAGGTATATGGCTTAGCAGAATCTATTTGAAAGTAGTTCAGATATAGCTAATCAAGCAGCAGCCACCTGTCAGAAGACATTTGGGGTGTATGCAGAGGTGGAGGCTCCTCAGCAGTGAAGAGGGGACAAAAACCTGATGGGAATAAGGAGTTTCTGACCTGGTTCGGATATATACATTTCCTTTATTAAACTCTGTCCCTAAATGTATTTGAACTTTCTCACAATACTCTGAATTATTTGCTTCCCCCTACTTTCCACTTAGGGCGGGCCAGTGTGATTGGACTAGTCTTAAATGTACTACTGGACCCTATTCAAGCAGGCTACTGCATGCACTGATGAAATAATTTAGGTTTGTTTTAAAGAAAGATATCTGTGTGGATTTTATTATTTATAAATACATGCAAAGTGTCTAAGCAGCTTACAGCTAGGATCATTCAGTTGCCATGGCAATGCCCTTTCAGAAGCAAGAATTTGTTTTAGGTTCTTCCAAGTTCTGTTCTTCTTGCCAGCTGCTGCTCCACCAATGCCGGAGTGCTAGAATTAAAAATATGGTGTTTAGAGAAAAAATAAATAAAGAATACTATTTCAGAGTGTGACAATTCTATTTCATAGTCTTTCTGATACGTCTCATCTTGTCATGAACCATTTGTTATCCTCACTTATTTCATCAGCAGGCTAATATATGGTACACTTTAATCTTGGCTGCAAGAAAAACAAAGCTTTTTGGACTGTGTCAAAGCTACTATGTTTAGGATTAACTGAAGGAAATGAAAATCTGCTTTTTACATGGAAATAGAAAATCAATGTGGTGAGGTTTAGCCTGAGATTACAGAATTCTGTATGTACTTCCCATCGTATTAGAACTTATTACTATGAAGTTATGTCGAAAATTGTGATTACACAGCTAAATTTTCTCTCTCCTTTTTATGGCACATTACAGGTGCAGCTCTAGCTCTTGTAAATTATCTGTGACTGTAGAAAACACAACTGATCTTGCAAAATGTAATGAATACTATGAGAAACTTTCTGGAAATTTTATTTTTCTTTCAAAGGATAGAAGACAGAAGAATAGAAAAAGAGCAATAAAGAGAATGTTGGCTGCCAAGACAATTTTGCATTTTGAAAGGTACACTAATGGAAGGCTTGCCACAGGTACTATAATGGTAGTTTCAGTTATCAAATGTGACTGCTACAGAGTAATTTATTTATGTCTCTCCAGAGACAGAAGCTGCACAACATACTGTACTACTTCTAAATGATCAAAGGACACAGATTTACAGCTTTACTTCAGAAAAGAAAATGTTCTTATGACTGGGGAGTTGTTGTTATTTCTGTTAATAATTACTACCTGCCACATCAGTCTCATCAAAGCTCAGCAAAGTTCTGCAAACACAGTTCTGCTGTGATTGGTTTATAAATTAGCCTGTTAAATTGCTGAGAATAATAGGAAGAAGGATTCAATGGGAAAGCTTTTTTCTGTAGACATAAGGTATATTCAGAAAAGATGTTCATGTGATGATGATATATCGGGTTTTGGCAATGGATATCCAACAGAGAAAGCACATGCAAATGTTTCTCTGAGAGTAACACCTTAGTAATCTAGAGATCATTGGAAAATAGAGACTGCTGGAATATAAGATGAAAATAGATGTACTACCACATTACTAATTCAAATTCATTACATGAATTCTCCCCCAAATCACTGCATAATGCCTTTTTCTTCAGTAATTTGGTTTCTCAAAAGCAACTATTGGGTTTATATGAACTTATGTCTCCTAGGAACGGGGCTGAGTATCACCTCACATACCTACAATCAAAAGGCAATGACTGCCAAGCGCAAATGAACCAAGCTACCTCTGCACTTGTGAAGTTCAGGGAAAGCTGGAGCTAGGACAGGTGGAGCTATTCATTGCTCTACGCAATTGTCAGAAGGTCGTCTTCCCCTTCCCTGTCGCCAGGGATGCAAATTCTATTCAGGAAGTTTAGAAAAAAGGTAATTTCCTCCTTCTTCTCTGCTTTTAAGTCTATCCTCTGCAGTGAGCTAATGGTTCAAATTTGGGTATATTTATGAGACACAGATATTAATTGATTTATTTTCTTCCTTTTAAGGTAAATTAGGCTGGAAGGATGCAAAAAGTCATCCAAATTTTTACCACCTGCTCATACCAACAAAAAGCTAGTTAAAACTCAATACCTTTCGTCTCAAATTAGTTACTGTATCGGGGAGGACAATTTCATGTTTTTACTATAACTGCCTATTATTTCTGCAGCAGTTGCCAAAGGCCCTGTACATTCATTATTATTTTAAGCATTCAGACATTAGTATTGCCTCTTTGGAAATGGTGATGTCCCTCTAAGAACTGAAGGATCAGCACAAGGCTTCATGGCTATTTAAATCCTATATGGAAGCTACATGGATGGAATGCCTCTGGTGCAAACGGAGCTTTTCCAATAAGCCCCATTGCTCAAAGACGCTGGCGCTCACTGGAGGATTAGAATGAGCAAAGTATACAGTCGTTTGAATGCCCCTCTCATGACAGAAGTCGTCTGCAAAGCATAGAGCAACTCGCAAGTCAGAGATTAATTTTATACCCCCTGCCAAACCTGTGCTTAGTGAGCTGTGCGACGCCTGATTACTCAGTTTTTATGCTGTGGGATATTGTATCTTATTCATACAGAATGAAATCTGGGATAAAATCCTTCTTTCTAAGTACTGGCTTAGGACCAGCAGTCTGAGAAGTTTGCTTGTCTAGAAAGCATTTGTACAGTGTGCCAATGAATTGGCCCTGGCACAGCAAAGATAAAAAGACAGTAAAAGCAAACCCAGCAGTGACAGCATTACTAGCTGTAGTCTTCCTTCACCTTCTGCCCCAATTTAAACCTCACGGAGCATTTGCTTCTAAATCTAGCAATTACTGGAAGAACAGACACCACAGGTCTGTTACAGTTTCAGGGACCAGGAGAGGAGCAAAATGCCAGCTGCTAATGACTCCCTGGCTGATTTCTAGTTCAATTGTTTTGCAGCCTGTCTTGGCTAGAAACTGGGAGATGGGATTCCTACATTCACAGTGGTATAAATTATTTCTCTCTAGATGTGGTAGTTTGTGAGGTACTACGCAATAAAACTTCTGCACTTACCTTAATCTAGCAGGTTTTCTGACTCTGTTCCAGAATTGAATATAATAGTTCTGCCTCTGGACCAATGCCATTTGCATGCTATTATATAGTGTGCACTTTGGACCATAGTGTGGCATGGACTTGAGGTGAACTTCTTAAAAATTGCCGACCTTTTATTTGGCTGTTAAGCTGGCTTTCTTAATATTTACATTAGCAATATGGTTCAATAGAATCCTAGTTAAATGTTTTATTTGAAGAGTTTAGAATTTCAAATTGTTAATATAATATACTTACGATGAAGTTTGGATCTTTAAATGGTAATGGCTTGACAGTTGTTTCCACTGATCCTGTGCTGGAGTCTGTGTTCAGAAATTTGTTTTCATTCATGGCCTCTCCACCTGCACTCTGAAGAAAAAATACAATCTTACCGCGTGTTACTCTCAGCAAGTTTAACCGGAGACAGAGCCGTCTGCTGTATTACCTAGCTGTTGCCTTTTTAGCCCTTCTATCTCTTTTGAACCTTTAAAGATGTTGCATGCCAACAGTGGGGAAGCATGAAACAGAACATTTGTCAAGCAATTTACAATTGACACATAAAGGGGAGGAGGGGAATAGAGTGGCCAAAGCCTACTGAGTAGAAACAGCATCGGGTTTATTTCAGTATTAATGAAAGCCATCTCTATAAAGTGCAAGAAAGCACGTGAAACCAGGAACAGCAGAAATGTACGTTTGATTTGTTTCAGAATGTTTGGTATTAGAGCATTAACAGGAATACATAAAATTTATAAAAAGTTTCTTGTTAAGGTTCTAAAGAATAACTGATTAATCAGTTTATTCTCCATATTTGGCGTCAATTATGCCTGAGTGAGGACTGAAGGGGAAAAGAAGATTTTACTTATTTTTCTATACAAGCCTCACAAAATCTACATTGGTACTAGTTGGTGTTTTCTAGGCTTTTCTTTACGGTTTATTTATTTAGCAGGAAGAGCAGTTGGAGAAGGTGTGTGTGTGATTGGAAAGCTAAAAAAGTTGTGTGGCAGTCTAAACAATTTCTGATAGTTCTGCCTGGCTGAGTCTATGTTGGTTTTTTATTTCGCGAGCGCCCTGTAAGTCTCCACACTACGTACATAAATGTTCCTCGTGAAATCCTGATCCATACTGAAGCCAATGAGAAGTTTGCCATTGAGTCTGGCAGTTCAATCAATAGGATTTCATACCTAGATTCTTTTTTCTTGAAGAACAAAAAGCTTGGCTAAAAGCTAAATCAATATTTACTGAATGGGTGGTTAAAATGTTTCTTTACTTTACCTTCATACAGATAATACTTAGAACAAAAAAAAGTTTTCCTGTGAAAACCTGCACTGCAAAACCTCCTGTGTTGATACAATACTCCTTTAAGTAGGAGAAAAAGGATCATTATTATTAGTGAATTATGGGAGTACCTCCAGAAACTGAGACTATATAGCAAAGACCATGATTCAGCATATCCTTCTCCATGTGATTACAAGGGAAGTGTTTGTATTCTTAACTACATGCATAAGTAATTACAGGATTTGGAACTAGGCAAGTTGAACTCTTCTTTGGGGAAATACATCAGTTATTCAACAGTGCCTTTTTTTAACATAGCAAAGAGAGGCCTTAAATATTCAAAGTATGGTGTAAAGAAGCATTCAAGTAACGTAGTCACATTTCCAGTGTCTTATTAAAATGTATGAATAGAGATGATCTATTTTCAAAAACAGTCAGTCCTCTGTAAGCTCACAGTACAGGGGATACCGCCATAACAACATCAGTGGAAGCAGCATTGAAGTCTGTAGCTTAAACTTGATTCTTCCCTTGCCGAGGACAACATTAAAAGGCAGTGACTGTCACAGAAACAGAAGAAATGCAGATGGATGTTCAGAAACATGTGCATTATGTGGCAGTGAGCAGAGAAAATAATATCTTCAGCAATCCTGAGTAAAGTGGCTTTATACAATGAGTTGCTAGGTTTCAAACTATATTCCTGCACATGTATGCTTGCAGCACTTCAGATTTCAGCAGCAAACATTAAAATCAATCTTGAGAAAGACAAGGCTTGAGATACAAGATTATTTTTGATTAATAAATTGTCTCTGATACTGCTCATTATCAGTGTAAATTCTGTAAGTGGAGGAATCGGCACTCACAGTTATTCTTCAAAGCATTCTCACCTTTTATTTGGTACCATTTGGTTGGTTTTAAATCCAGTCCCACAGTTTTTTATTAATTGCTTTATCACTTTTGCCCCTTCAGTGATCTTCTCCTAAATATTCTGTTGTTTATGAAACAGGTTTTGAGTAGCATTTCAACAATATCTCGAAACAGTATCTAATATTTTGATACAGAGCAGATAAAAATGGTTTATCGGTAAAGGGGAAGAAGCTTCCTTATACATATAGTCCTTAATTTCTGCAGCTGGGTGCATTTACATATTACATTCACTGCCTTCAGTGCGTTTTTCTGTGTGGATTCAGTGCTAATCTTGCTGGTGCATTGGGAAGGAAAGAAAGGAACTGCTCGTGGCAGGACAATTCCTGAATGTAAATTCTACACGTCGTTTCTTTTCCGGACCACTCCCTAAGGGATTTCAGGTATTAGAGCTGCTAAGAGTCAGGATAACTCATGTTACGAGCCAGATGTTAACTTGGTTTGTGCTAGCATCCCTTGCACAGTGGCAGAGGCAGCAGGACCCGGAGCAGCAGCTGCTGCTTTTCTGGGCCGTGTGGACACCCAAGCCATCCTGCAGTCCCACTGAGACGTAACACCAGCAGGAGCTTCTGGATCTGTCATGGACAGTTTGAGAGCAGGGGTCTCCACTCCAAGGCGAAGGGTGCAGGCTGGTGTGCAGGACTGTAAAGCAGCTTGCACACCACAGTGGCAGGCAATTGATACCATGATTTCAGAGCCCTGTGATAGACTGGGAAGCAAACAGCACTGAGTACTATGATCCCAGTTAAATGGCTGGGAACTGAGATAAAGACACACTGGTAGAGGCATGCCAGTTCCCTCACTCAGCATTGCTTGTATGGAAATTCTGATTTTTAGCAGTAGCAATAGTACTATGGAAAAGAGGTACTCAGCTAACGTGCTTTTCTTTCTGGAAAAACATTAAAGAGTTGAGTAGAAGCACTGCTTCCAGAATAATGTGCTACTGCACAGCGCAGTGAACTCCGTCCGGCAAGTACAGAGCTTTGAAATGCTCTTTCCTTGCAGCCTGCAGAAGTCTCAGCTGGTATCCTCAGCACTTTTTCAGCCACAAACTGAAAGCGTCTCAACAATCTACAGATCTGCCCAACCTATGTTTTAAAATGCCAGGATTTAAAGCACAAGAAACACCATTTAATGTTTCAGGTTTGTTTTTTGAAAGTTGTTTTAAAGGCAGGGGTGGAGATGCCAAATGAATTTTAACCAATATGGATCTACCTTGGTACTGCAAAAAGCCATGTTTCCTGAAAGTGAATAATACAGTGACAGTACCACACATTATTTACAGCCTGCAAGAAGATTCCTCAGTGAACAATTACTGTACAGTAAAGGTAATCTTTAACTTTTAACATCAGTTGAACAAATCTCTCCCAAATGTGCTTTTTTGCTTGGTCGTTTAGTTCGGAAGATAGTTCATTCTCCACTGCCATGTGTCAGGGCAAACAAACAGGAATGAATTGAAATCCCCTTTGTAGCCCTACGAAGTGCTGGTGGTCCCGTGAGCGCAGCGAGGAAGCGCCTGTCGCCGGGGGACGTGTACTGCTCAATGTGCGCTGTAACCTGAAGTCACGCGTGGGGTAACTTCCCCTTCCTGCCCAACTCACCACCAGCCCCCAGCACGTTTTCTCTACCCAGCCAGTCTCTCGGCTAACTTCCTCACCCCCAGTGTCCTAGGGCAACCCCAAATGCTTTGCAGTAGGGCTAGAAAGAAAGTGTAACCGTGGGCTGAAACTCTCGATATCTTCTTTAAAGCTTCTTTTTAACTGGTCCTGTAATGTAAACATCCTTCATGGGGAGCTCAAGATACACTTCAAGGAGAGAGACAGTGAAGCAGCTTTTAATGTGCACTTCATAACTAAATTCTGTCTTTTAAAAGGTGGTTTCTGTAACTAGGGCTACTGGGAATTTGTGCTAGAATAGTCAATAAGCAGTCTGTAGTCCTCCATAGGCTGTTGAAGATTATAACAACAGACTTTGGAGTGGCTTTACATTTACAGGGTACATCTGCACTGGCAAATGAAGCTGTGATTTCAGTACAGCTGAACATGCTTACGCTAGTTTTACCCTAAATAACAATAAAAACACTGCAGTAAAGACTGCAGCTAGGCCATCAGCAACTACGTTCATCCTTTCCCATCGACTCTTGTCTGGCTGTTAGCCTCCACAGAAGTCCATGCTGCCGCCACTTCTCCTGTTACCTCCTCCTCCCGGTACCCTCCTCAGCCAGGCGCAGGCCAGCCTTCACTGGAACGGCACGTTTTAAAAGTTGTAGACAGTGGGTCGAAGGCTTCTTATAGGACCACTTGTGCAATTTTATTCCATCTATAAAGTTGCATTTATGTGCTTTAGCTGAATTTTAACTACAACCACAGTGTGACAGGTTGGCAACCTCTATCCCTCCTGGGATAGACGGGAGCAATAGTGAGGGGTGCTGCTTCTTTTTTGCATTTCTTTTCACAGGAGCATCTATCAAGTATTCAGTGCATCCCAGCTGGGTGGGACACTGTCCTCCCTGTTATGTGCTAGGACCTGGTGACAGTCACCAAGTGAGGAAGCTGGCTGAGGACTTCACTCAGTTAGAAGACAGCAAAAATTCGAGAAAGAGTGAAGACCTGCAGCAAACACTTGGGAGTCCTAAGAGGTTTGTTGTAAGAGCAGCCAAGCCTGGGGAAGAGACCTGAGCTAAGCTTCGCTACCTTAACACTGGTTTCTTTTGAATAAAGCCAAACCCCAGGAATGAGCCTAGTTTGGACCCTACTGTATATGCTGTCTGTACTGGGAGAAAACACACATTGGGAGGCTGCCTATTCACATACTACTTTCAATCTTAGGTTTTGGTAGATCTATTAATTTTTTCAACATATTCTGTTCCAAATTCCCTACCGCAGATGTATTGGTTTTCACAGGATTTCCAAAGATTGCTCCATCTGTCTGGTTTTATTTAGGGAGAGGACAAGCAAAACTTGTAGACCATGGAAGCTAAACTCTTTGTTTTGGCTATTTCTAGGCAGAATCAGCATTGTCGGGTTTGGGATGGGTGTCTGTGATGGGACTAAATACCAGGTGGAATTAGCTTGTTATGAAAGTGCTTGTCTGAATCATCATTCCTTTTTTTTCCCCCACCAAGGATGAAAACTGCATAACAGAATAACTGATATATGCTGAAATATCATTTCTTACCTATTTACTTTTGGATTATATTCTATAATGTTTTTTCATTCTTTTAGACTAACAGGATTTTATGAAGTATAAAAAACATAAAAAAATATGAAACATAAAAGTCAAAGACGTAGATTTGTGCATTTCTGGTATCCCATCACTGCACACCATGCATGACATGGCTTAGAAAAAAAATGGATTTGCACATCATTGAAAGTACACTACGATCGTTAGCGGCCATTCTCACTAGATGTTACAGTTTTACATGGTAAAACAGAGTTTAAAAATAGAAGGTAAACCAAAACAGTGTGTTGGTAAAGCAAAACTTAAATGCATAAATAAATTCTGTAAGAACTGGAAAGGGAGTTTCTAGTTTAAGGGAGCAAAAACAATACTGTAAACATTGATTTTCTCTGTCTGTTTTGTTTTCTGCAAATCATTCATTCGTTAGTTTTAACAGTATAGTGAATACAGCAATTGTAGATGAAGGTTATTACATATGTAGTTTTTTGGTTTGGTTTTGCTTCTGCATTCAGTATTTCTGATACTCTGGCTTTGTCTTACAGTGATGACTAGGGGGGTTGTATGTCACTAGTGAAAAATAAGTAATAAGAGGGGACTGGTTCTAAATCAAGCCCTCACACTTGGTGATAACTTTGCCCCAAGCACCCAATTTGGCTTGCTGAGGAACCCACTTGTCTCCAACCTTTGTATGTGAAGTTTAATAAATAGTTTAAATTATTTTTACTTGCTTTTGGCAGCTGATTTTCATAATCACAATAATACCACAATGACATTTTTAATTTCACTGACACAGTTGTTTGAACTCCGCCTCAATAATGGTATATGTCTAATTATTCCTGTAGTAGGTTACTTCTAAAGCAGCAATATCCAACTTGTAGCAACTTACTCAGCTTTTAGCTGTAAGTTCTGTGACATCCTGATGAAGCTGTGGCATGCAGCCAGGGAAGAAGATGGTAATTTATAAAATAGATGGATAGTACCTGTATTTTCACCAATTACAGTGAGTGAGAATGCCACGTGGAAACAAGAGCACGAATGCCACTAGATGACAGCAGCGATGATACAAGCAGACTTTTCAGAATTGGGAGTAGACTTGGGAGTGTCAGCTCTTTAACAGAGTCCCAACTAATACTGCTCATACTGGAACATATATTAAGCTGTTTGATTAATATATTAGCTCTCACTGTATAACAAGCCTGGCACAGGCTCTTGCACATTCTGAATATTTAATTCATTTAACTTTGCATGATGACATGACGGGAGCCATTAAAACTTGAACACGTACACTCTGGCAGACAAAAAGGCAGCTCTTTACATTGCTGGGAAAAATTCACAGAGAAAGGTGTCAGAATTAGACATGCTTTAGCTCCAGTTAAAATGATAGCTAAAAAATTTCTCATCACCAATGTTATTAGCATAGTGTATTTCTGAAAGCAAACTCACTGAAGATTCAATAACAATGTATGACTGAAGAAATAGCACTCTCTTGAACAAGATTAACTCTCTCCATGCCTGTGACAGAAAGGTTTGCTGGAAAGACTTACTCAGCCACATGCATAAACGTGTCTTAACCATCTGGTTGCATTTTACTGGTTCTTG